TACCAACATGGGCCAGTGAAGCGACGTCCTCCACAACTAGACTGAAGAACAAAAGGACAGCAACTTGTCTGTTCCCCTTCCCCAATTCCCCAACGCTGTTACCCTCCCCGCAATTCCCCAATAAAATATTAAAAAAAAAAAAAGTTTGTTTTAAAATTTTCTGACAGTGGTTAATTCTGGGTACTGGTAGTTTTCATTTAAAAAATTATACTTGTTAATATTTCTATACTAAATAAAAATTCTAACTGAAAATATGCTCTGATTTTTTAAAAAATTGCAAATAACTCCACTAACATAGGCTAGGCCCTCATGCAGTATGTCCAAGGCCACACAGTAAGTTAATAGCCAGAACTACTTACATCTCTTAATTTCTAGTCCATGCTACCTTTCAATGTCTGATTCTACTTTTTTTCTTGTTTTATTTTTCACCTTAAAAGATTTCTGAATTCCTACAAGTAGGATTCCTGAATTTGTCAAACAAAAGAGCGATACTGAGACTTACCCATAAAGCAATATAAATTAACTAGAAAAATGATTGGGACCAAGAATATAAAAACCGTTCAAAGCACTATAGAATCAAGACTACTGCCTATGAGGGCTCAAGCAGGAATGAACCCAAATAGGAGTCAGCGGACAGAGCTTAGAACCCGACTTTAAATCATTGCCTTTTAGAAGGAGTCACTAGGGAATCTGGTTAAAGGGAATTATGGAAACACACCTAAAAATATAAATAGATCCAAGTCTATTGGAAACATGGACAGGAAACTGTTAACTAGGATAGTTACTTCTGGAGCATGAGATTATAGGAGAATTTGTCTTTCTTCATTACAGATTGTGGTAAAGTTTGAATATTGTAAAATGAACATTAAACTACTTTTGTAATCAGAAAAATAAAAGAGATTAAAAACAAAACAAAGCAAAATTCCTTTGTAATTACTTTTTTAAAAGAAAAAGTTAAAAAAAAGGGGGGTAGGGAACATTAAAATAATATTAAAATTGGTGAACTAATTTTGATCACTCTGATTTTGATTACTCCAGAAAAAAATAGAAAGGAACCTTGAAGGGTGGTGATGTTCAGTGCGCCAGGGGGTAAAAAAGAAGTTAGATATAATTTAGCAACATGAGACAGTACAGAAGCACTTACTATTTTAAGCCACCACACTGAACTCTTTTATGTCCCCAACTTGGGAAGCCTGAAAAAGGTTCCAAGAGTGTTTCTGCCTCAATTCATTAGTCTGTAGCTCCAAAAAGAGATAGCTTTTCAATTAATATTAATTTTGAGCTGCCAAAGTACTCTTCCTCAGAGAACATGTAACCCAGAAATGTCTTGTAGTTAAGATGCTAACAGCAGCTGTACGAGTCTTGAGGAATCTCTGCAGTTCTTTTTTTTGTTGTTACAGTTCTTAATAAGGAATGTGGCCATATAAATGTTGTGATTCAGGAGATTCAACTTTTGGAATTTGATTTAGCCATAAAAATGACCTGGACCTTATAAATCCTATAGAGGATTCTAGACTGCTTCCCAATACACCAATTTCCTGTAGTGGTTTCATTATGGTTGGCAACTCAATATCTACTGCATGTTTGATGATGACTCTTAAGTCAGTTGTTCTCAACAGAGGAACTCTGGACAACTGTGGGGCATTTTTGGTTGTCACAATAATTGGGTCTGTGGGGCGGGGCAGGGAGGAGAGTGCTACTGGCATTTTAGTAGGCTGGACCAGAGATCTTGACATTTGGAAAGTACGGGACAGTCTTTGATAACAAGAAACTGTGCCAAATCTGGTACAATTTTCAAAAGTTTCAACAAAAAGTTCATGTGAGTGAGAAACCTATTTATAATTATCTGAGTTTAGAACCTTATTCCATTCTACATATTAACCAAAAGTGTTTGTGTAGTTTTAATACAAAATAATAGTTTTTCCAAGAATGCAACAACTGTGTAAATCAAGAGAACACTCATACTTTTTGTTGTTGTTATTCAGAAATTTATAAAAAGTTTATTATATTTTTAGAAAATCATACAATTTGGCAATGCTGCTCTGGTGCTCTGAACCAGTAACACATTTCTATGTATCTGCATTTGTAGCACTTTCATTCACATAGTGCTATGAGGAAGTACAAATACCTGACTCCTTCTATACCTGTAGCCAAGACCTTACATATTGAAAATACACATTATTTTATTATACTTTGCTTTTATTCTTCCCTCATATTTCAGTTAAAATTTTATGTTGATTTTTAAAAAATATATGACCTAGATATGTTATATCTGAATTTCATTTCAAGATAATATAGGAGCATTGCAAAATACTTCTTTATAAAAAGGGGACATTGAATCTGATGGGGGTGAGAATAACTGGTTTAAACCCATCACGGTGATCTCTGTCCCCTTGCCAGACCTGGGCATGGGGCATGTGAACCAGTTCTGCTCAAAAACACACGACAGAGTGTCCTGGAGGACTTCTGGGAAAGGTCTCCTTGCTCTTAGGAGAGAGGAATGAATGGTGCTTCTCCCTTTTCAGTCAGTTTCTGATGGCTGGAAGAGCTGTAATCATCTTGCTATCAGCCTGAGGATGAAGTAAACAGTGAGGAGGCAGCTCCAAGACCATCACAGACAGATGACACTGGAGCCCTCAGACATCCGCCTGACCTCTGGACTTCTAGTTTTGTAATGTGATAAATTCCTTTATGCGTAAGCCAGGTGGAATCAGGTTTTCTCTTATTTGCAGTTGAAAGCAGCCTAACAGAGTTGCCTTGGAGAAATGACACAGAGAGGGAAGCAGTGTAGCACAGTGGAGAAAGCATATGCTTGGTAGTCAGCTATACTGAAGTTCAAATCTTGATTCTGTGATTTACTAGCTGTATCACCTTGGACAAGTTACTTAAACTCTCTGAGCCTCAACTTCCTCGTTTATAAATTGGAAACAGAATACCTGCTTTACATGGCCATTGTGAGGATTAATGAACTAATACTTGTTAAGCTCTTAACCTAGTGCTTGGCATGTTGCAAGCATTCAATAGCTGGTCGCTATTATTAACTATTTTTATGTGGAGGTAGGAAAAACTCACAGCAGTCTGAGCAGTGATGTGTGTGCAGCCCACAATTTTGGCTCCAGCCAAAGGTTTTTCTCCTTGAGCTCTCTTCCTCAAAGCCATCAGTGCCGGCATTTCTGAAAAGGCCCAATACATACATAGCAATATTAGAGAGGAGGGAGTGAGAGACAAAGAACAAACAGAAAAACTTATTCTCTTAAGGCAAGATCCCCTCCTGATCAGGTTCCCTGTTAGATTAGGTTTCTCAAGGGATCAAGATATTAAACCTGACTTTTTTTTTTATAAAGGGCATTCAGAGGCTACTGCTCCAGTGTTCTGAATTGCTGTGTCCCAATCCCCCTTTATCTAGTCTCTTTCGCTTTTCCTTATATAGGGGTTTCTTCTAGGTCTGCCAGAGTTCACTCCCTTCTCACAGTGTTTCTTGAGCTCAGATTTGTTGTTGCTGTTATAAGTATTCTTCAATATCACACTGAAATTTCACAAGCTACGAGGCCCTAGGATGTAAAAAGTGATTCACATGGACAAAAAGACACAGGCAGCTTGTGAGGAAAAGGCGCTTGCTTTCTTTACCTTGTTCAGCAATTTCAATTTCTCTTCGTCCAAACTCCGCCTGTTTGATGTTCTTGACACAGAAGTCACTGTTTCCCTTAGAGTTCTTTTGCTGCTTGTCCCTGGGAGATGTCTCATCATCAGAGCTATCTGTATAGGAAGCCGCTGGAATGACAGAATAAAACACCCTCAGGGGAAAAGTTGGCTTCCTCTATAACTCCAAATAAAACTGGAATGAACTCAGGTTTCTCTGGTCATCCAGCACCATACAATGTACACATCTGGGAAGCACCGAAATGGCATCGTGCAGCTGTCTGAATCATCTCCTGTGGAAGGTACTACCCAGGGGTCACAAAGAGCAAGCTGAGACAGGTTGCCAAAGACATTCCCCCTGAGAGCACTAACTTAAAATCTAGGGCTAACTTTATCTCCAGAACATACAGAGGTCCTTGAATTGCAAAAGGAAAGCGGTTACACCACAGTAGCAACAGGTTAAAGTTCTCAATGCAAGATCACGGCCATTGACCTATGGGTTTCTGGGATCCTAGCTACCCTTCTCTGTCTGCTGCTTAAATGCCTCATGTAACTTGTGTTTTAGTACAAAAACTAAATAGATAAGACCTAGAAAACAAGGAACCCATGGGAAAGTAATTCAGAACCACACAAAAAGTGTTTGTCCGACATAACAGAGCTCTCTTTTTTAAGACTGGCTCTGATGAGGCTGAACTATGCTGCAGACCCAATTAGACATTGACAATGAAGTATTCTGTGTGTTCTCCCTTCTTGCTGGTCTCAGTGGGTCCTGCATTAGGCATTTTAGATTCCCAAAGAAGCAGATAAATCCTCTTGTGGTATAATAGAATGCTCTGATCCATTTAGCATTATATACAGGGTGGAAGGTATAGGCTTTTGATTGGGGCTAACAGGGAGCAGCAGCTGCTGCTATTCCCATGTTTAGCTGAGGTCTTATTAGTCTTCATATAATTCTGTAGTTGCTAATCGTTTGCTGGATGAACGGAATCAATTTCCTTCCTGGATTTATGTCTCAGTTTCTGTTCATAGCTTCTTTCTAAGTAGTCCTCAAGGATTTTTGGGAAGGTTGGGTAACATAAAGAGCTGTCTACAAAGCATTATGTATCTCCCAATGAGATAAGAAGTACTTCCATCACTTTTAAGGAGCAAAAGCTGCAATAGCTCAGAGCTCCTAGGGTCTACAGTGCTCTGATCTACTTACAGCCAGAGAATTATGGCATTTCTGGGATTTCTTAGCAAAGGGTCTATCTCTGGGAGGGCTGTAAAGGCAAGTCTGACCTTGCCCAGTTAATCAGGCATGGCACTACAAGATGTTTGGGCAGCAGGGGCCTGACTATCTCTCTGAGCTGGAAAACTGCCCTAGAGCAAAGTCCTAACATGAGGCAACAAAGAATGAACTTGGGTCACCAGGGGAGGTGAGGGAATTAATAAATCCCCAAAGGGACTTTTGTTCTTGAAAGGAGCTAATCTGTACAAAAAGTTTGTCGTTCTCCCTCCTAGGGTGAGCGAGAGCTCAAAGTACCTTTGTCAACAGAGCCCAGGAACAGCTTCCTGGGCAGTCACCTGTTTCACTAATCAACACTCAGAAGTAGCTTATGAGTTGGAGGCTGAGGGGAACCAATGCTTCTACCACCTGAGAGAAGAATAACAACAGCCATCCATCAATCCTGATCCAAATTTATAGGGTATTTTTGAAGAAAGTGTTTATATTCAGAATACCCTGAAGTTTTAAATCCTTTTCCAGAGCCATATGATTTTTTATGCTCCCTAACGGCCATTTAAATAGAGTCGTTATGTGTTCTGGAGTCAGACTGTGGTTGAAGTCTCAGTTTCTGTTCTGGGTGTATAAAGTAGGGGTGATACCAAAACCTGTTTACTAAGATTGTCAATTCATTCATGTATTCAGTCATTCACACATTCAAATTCACACAAAAATTCAACAAATTTTTATTGTGCATCTGCTATGTACCGGGCACAGTCTAAGTGCTGGAGATATAGGACAGATATAGGTTGTCTTTATCTTCATGGAGTTTTCAGTTTAGTAGGTGAGTCAGACATGAAACAACAAATTACAAAACTAATTATTTAGAGTTTTTCTTTCCTTATGGTTGTAATATGTACTATAAAACAGACTATATAATAGGCAGACGTGACTTGTCAAAGTCAAGTTGTTGAGAAGATTAAGTAAGATAATGTAAGTAAAGTGCTTAATGCAATGCTTGGTATAATGCACTCGATAAATGATATCTGATATTATTACAGGCTTTTGCACATATTTTAACTCAATACCAGACATAACATCTTTAAGGGTTCTTACTCAGCTTTAAGGTTTTGAATGGGAAAGGAATGATATATATACAATATTATTCAGCAGCTTCCTTTTTTTCTACCTCCATCATTTACTAATGTACCCATGCAGCAGGTGTTGGCTGGTAGTGATGAAAAAGGTTGAGACTGGAGTCCTACATCTACCCAAAATAGCTTTCCTCTCCTATTCCTTTTTCAGCTTCTAAGGATGATTCAGGGTAACAAAGAAACAAACAACAAAACAAAACTCCAAAAATTTCCCCTTAGAGAAGCACTCCAATTTCAGACTTGAGTTGTTTTCTTGTAAGTCAAAGAAAAAAAATAATTTATACTGCTTCCTATTCTAAAATGAAAAAAACAGTGTTTTATTTTCTTAACAGTAGTCAACTGGTTGTAGTTAGTTCAACCAATGTTTTTCTTTGAGCCAAAATGAATTTGTTTTCAAAGAGCCCTTTATATAGACCTGTTATCAGGTGAGAACCAAAAATATCAGTGTCTAGATTGTACTAATATGTAATGCAAAATGGCTGACAGAAAAATAAAAACGAATAAAAAAAATAAATAAATGGTTGACAGACCCAGATCAAGAGAGTGTTATTTCTGCAAAAGCAGTGGAAAGATTATTCCTGAATTAGCATGACATTTATGTTTTGAATCCACACTCATTTCTGCCACTATATTTAAAGTAGCACATTCATGAAAAGAGTTGAGATAGCATTAAACATTTTTCCTAGAAAAATGTAGAGAAACCCAACACATATGTATATACACGCTTGAATAGTTTCTAACAAGTGTTTGTTTTTGCCAGTACACGTTGAAGCCCAGAGTCATAAGTGAAGGAAAAATGAAAAATCGGTAACAAAGGCAATAACCTACTGAAGTACAGGCCCAAGACCTTAGCTCTAGCTTCACCTCTACTTGGTGAAGTGAGCAATTTTTCATTTAATTGACTGTAAAATAAAGAGCATGACAGAGCCTCTCTCTCCCATGCTCTCCTCTCTCTACCACCCGAAAAATCTAATGACTAAATGAGATAATACCAAAAAAGGATTCAACTTCTAGGCAGAAAAGTCATATAAAGTACAATATAACGTTACCATGAGATACTCTCTTTTTTCATGATATCCCAGAATCAAAACATAACTTGATGAACCACTAAGCCACAATCTATCCCATAGAACATGCTCTATAGGTTCTATGGCTTAAGCCTGATTAAGTCTTACATCCTAGCAGCTGTGATATTGTGGGAATTACTAGGAGAAGAAGCAGTCAGATTCCTGGGTGAGTTAGTCCTATTAGGCTATTTTAAGTCAAGCAATTCTTCTTGGACCCAACTATTCTTTTGGTAATAGAAATAACAGTAGGGGCCTGTGTGTCAGTGTGCAGCGGTTTCATTGATGAATACCACTCTAGACATATGTGAAAAGCTATCTTAGCAACCAAAATACAAATAAACAAAACTTTGTTATTTGGAGAAATCTGAAAATACCTCAAACAATTATGAACTAAAGGACTTCAGTCTTTCTTCCTTATCCTTAACCAATTAACTCATTGCAAAGACAATTTTTTTCAAAATATATCACTGAGAATGATCTGATTTCGAAGAAAAGTCTTCTGTTTATTTGTTTTTATGAGGTTTTGTGCTTAGGGAAAGAGTTTTTAGAAGTTCGTTTTTTGTTTTTTGTTTTTTAAAGATTTTATTGGGGAGTTGGGGGAGGGGAACAGCATTGGGGAATCAGGAAAGGGGAACAGACAAGTTGCTGTCCTTTTTGTTCTTCAGTCTAGTTGTGGAGGACGTCGCTTCACTGGCCCATGTTGATATTATCATTGCACTCTTCCCAGGTGAGGTAGTCGCTTGCCGGCCATTGGATGGCTGCTCACGGCGGTTCACAGCAGCTCACGAAAGCTCACGCCCGCTGCCGGCCAACCCCACTGCAGCCTACGCCGTTGCTGGCGACACACGGCAGCTCAGCTCCAAGTCCAGCTGTTGTTTACCATCTTAGCTTTAGAGGGCGCAGCGTCACTGGCCCATGTGGGATCTGAACCAGGGCCCTGCTGCTCAGAGCTGGCATCCCAAGCCAACTCTTAACCAATGTGCCACTCGGTCGGCCCTAGAAATTCGTTTTTTAGGAAATAATTTTAGGGATTAATGCAGCCTTTTTCCGCCTGGGTTTCACTAGAATTAAGCCCCATTGCCTTGAAGCATCCATTGGATATGAATTAACTTCTCTCTTACACATTGAGAAGGGTACTAGTTATGGCCTATCCTTTGAAGAACTGTGAAAGTTTCTCAAATCCTTTTCTGTGTTCTATGATTCAGATGAGGAACTCTGGTTGAGAAAGGCTGGTAGAAGTTCCTAAATGAAAGCATGGCAAAACTTACTGCTAGGATCACTAGGAAGGGAAGGGAAATCACAGCCTAAGTAAGCCTCTAAGTACCTTCAGCGAAAACGGCACTTTGGACAGGAAGATATCTTTTTTTGTAATATCATAAACCTTCTTTTATCTGTTTATATACACAGAGTATATCAGAGACCTCAACAAGGGTGTAAAGTATAATAAGAATGTCTCTGGATATCTTTCACCAATATCTATTTATTGAGCACCTCTTATGTGTCAAACAGTTATAAGTGCTAGGAATAGAGCAGTACAAAACAGACAAATCTCTGCTCGCATGGATCTCATGTTTAGGTAAGCGGAGAAAAGACAATAAATTAGTAAAATATATGTTATATAATACTAAGTGCTATGGAGAAAAATAAAGGAGGAAAACTTGATAGGGAGTGTTGGGTGACGTGTTTGTACAATTTTAGAAGAGTAGCCAGGACAGGCCTCAACGAGAAAGTGATCTTTGGTTAAGAACTGGAATTGAGAGGCCCAGCGAGGGTATCTTAGAGCATTCCAGGCGGACAGGATAGCAAATGCAAACATCTTAAAGCAGAAGAGTGCCTGGCATGTTTCAAAATAACAGAGTAACAGTAAGAAGGTTAGTATGACTGGCATGAAATTAATAACTGGGGGAGGCAGGAGGTTTGGGAAAGTAGAGATGGGGTTAGAAATGCAATGGGAGACTAGATGGTATAGGGCCTTGTGGACCATTTTAAGAACTTCAGCCTTTACTCAGAGGGACGCTGGGAAGCCATGGGAGAGTTTTGAGCTGAGAAGTGATATGACCTGACTTATTTTAAAGGGACGAATCTTGCTATAGTGTTGTAAACAGACATGACTCAGGAGCTCGGTTTTTACGATATGGCAGGTTTGAGAGGTCTGTAAAAATGAAAAGGTTGAGCAGGCAGTTGAATATACAGATCTAGCGTGTAGGGGAGAGATTTGAGCTGGAGATAAAATTTGAGAATCAGATGTTACTACATGATATTGAAAACCATGAGACTGAAGGAGTTCACCTCGGCAGAGAGTATACACAGAGAAAGGAAAAGGTCTCAAGATGAGTCTTTGGGGGCTCTGTAACATTAATAAATTTCTATAGTTATAACGTATGTTGAAAATGAGTTCCAAGTTCTTATTGACCTGCATTTGCATATCTTCTCATATTTAGAAAGCTGTGAGTCAGATCCGTTATTCCTGGCTTTTCCTTTGATGGTATGGAGTTTTTTTTCTGTATCACTTCATATAACTTCCCACTGCTGCTGTTATGAACGTCACGGGCTAAAGAGTTTTCCAGAATCACACAACAAGTCACACATGGGTCAAAGCCTAGAAACTGGGTCCCATTAACTACCAGTCTAAGGCTCAAGGCAGTAGGCATCTCCATTCTGAGTTTGTTTAAAAGAGTTTGACAATTGTACATGTGAAAAAAAAAAGCCAAAACCAAAAACAAAACGAGGTAATGGTGTGTGTGACACTGCTGGGAAAGCAGCAAACATATTCTTAGGTTTCATTTTAAAAGCACCGAGTTTATAGAAATAACACTTCCTGTAGATGAGTTCAGACCATATCTGGAATATTATATTCATAGGCATAGTATTTTTTTTTAAAGATTTTATTGGGGAATTGGGGGAAGGGGAACAGACAAGTTGCTGCCCTTTTGTTCTTCAGTCTAGTTGTGGAGGACGTCGCTTCACTGGCCCACATTGGTATTATCACTGCGCTCTTCCCAGGTGAGGCAGTCACTAGCCGGCCATTGGACGGCCGCTCACAGCAGCCTAGCTCCAGGTGGAGCTGTTGTTCGCCATCTTAGCTGTAGAGGGCGCAGTGTCACTGGCCCTCATGTGGGATCCGAACCGGGGTCCTGCTGCTCAGAGCTGGCGTCCCAAGCCAACTCTTAACCAACGTGCCACTCGGCCGGCCTGGCATAGTATTTTTAAAGGGACACTTAATCTGGGTTCTATCCAGATGAGGGTAATAAGGACAGTAGGATGCCCCCAAATGGTGATTTTTATTTCTACATAAAATTTTAAAGTCCAGGAATTATATAAGAGTTTATCAGGAACTAAATAAGTAGATGAAGCAAGGATTACCCTATCACCCTAAAATGCTTCCAAGAGGCTAAATAGCCATTTGTCAGGGATGCATTCAAGACAATTCCAGCATCCAATGGGATGCTGAATAACTGATCTTATTTTCCACCTCCAGGATGTTTGACTCCAATGCTCCTGAACTTAACATCCTTAAATGGATATATATGGTTGATAATTTTCCCTATAAAAATGGCAATTTCACATAGTTCAACCTAAAAGTTCCAAGTTTTCCAGGGTGACACCAGTAACTGTCAATTCCCAATGAGCTTAACCAGACAATTATGTGTTCACTTAGAAACCAAGTGCATCAATCACACTCTTCTAGGTAAACAGATATTTCTGTAGGTGCCTCCTTGCATACAGGGGTTCAGTGGGAAGACAGGCATTGGTTTTCTCTGCAGGAATCTAGCTGAAAATGTGGATCTAGTGTGCATGGAAGACACTGAGCTGGAATTAAAATTTAATGTAGTTATTATTTAGTATCCATCTTTGGATAAAATACACAAACTCAGTCTAAAATGTTACACAGTTCTACAATTCACATTTTCACAGTTATTATAGTTTCCAGAGTTACATTAACTGGTTCATGAATTTTCAACACTGGTTATTTCAGCAGAATCAGATAGGTACAACATTTAGTATCTTTAGACAAAAATCCACAGGAATTTATGTCATGTGCTTTTATATCATTCAGATTTTGTGCGATTAAATAAAAAGAGAAATGTTAAAATGTAAATAACAATACACCCAATCTAAAATTACAGCTTCCTAAACAAGCTTTCTTCAATTTTATATAACAAATACTTTCCTATTTGTGTGAAGAACAAATAAAATTTCAGGTCACAATGAAAAACTTCTAATGAATATGAATTACTATTTATAATATGAAGAGACAACTTAGCTTCCTACCACATTCCAATGCACGAACAAAATAAAATAGCTCCATATTAGATCAGACACTGTTGCACAAATGGCCAGTGCCTTCAAGGAGGGTTCTACATGGTAATAGCTCATCTGGCATTAAGTGATAACTCAGCTCCAGGGCCCATATGTTTGAATTAACCCCATTACAAAGGAAGAAAGGAGCAACAAGCAATATAATGTCACAGTTTAGAAGAGAAGGCAAAGGAGTCACTTGAACTAGCTACAATGTTTTCATTGGGGCAGTTAAAGTTTCCCTGTTAATTTGCAAGTACCAGATGGAAGGATGGAGAGCCCCTTTCATTTTCAAAGAATGGAAAAAACATGTTTTTACGCATGCTGTTCAATGAAGGTCATCAGTGAGCTACATACTCCTACCCTCTGAATAAATCAGAGCTCAGTACCCCCAAGAGGAATCCAAAGATTCCATCTAGAATTTTGGTCTGAATTTCAACTAAGAGGCAAAGTGTTTATTCCAAAACGCAGGCTTGATCACGCTTAATTAACCTTGGGTAGACAGGTGGGTCTGTTGATCATCTCTGCACAGGTGGGTCCATAGCAGTTCAGTACTCACCTGAGCTGTAGCTGTCAGTAGATGACTGAGAAATGGAGCGAGACAGAGAGCGACGTCCAATTTTGGTGGGACGTTTGTTGAATTCTTGCTTCTGGTCAGCAAACTGGATCTGCTGAGAAAAGGAACTCCAGTTATATAAAAGAAAAGAACCTCCATTTTGAGACAGCGATTCAAGGCTTGCATTATAGGATCTTACCTTCCCTTGCAGTTAATTTGATTGTACCAACTCATATTTGGAATGTTAAGACTCTGGAATGAAGAATGATTTTTCATTCTTTACCTACTGTGTTTCTATCAAATTTAAGTCTTTGATCCACTCTCTGACTGCATGCTTTTTACAATAAAATTATGGCCAAAAAAGGGGGATGTTCTGGTTAAATGCTTAGAAAATTGAGTCATATTCAGAAATCCTTTCTATAGTTTCACCAAAAATGAAAGCTGGTATCTTTGAGACTATGTATTCAATTTTCATATATCTAGATGACAAAAGGCAAGAAAGGTGCAGAAAGGTAAAGTGACATGCCTTCAAGGTTTAAGAGTCCCAGGAAATGGTATGATATAATGAAAAAAACAACACAGGTTTTCCATTCAGACAGAACTTTTCTGGAATTCAAACCCTGGCTATACCACTCATTAGCTATGTGATATAGGTTAAGGTGCTTGTGTGTGTGTGTGTGTGCGCGCGCGTGCGCCTCATTTTCTCATAAATACAGCAAAGATAAAAATACCTCACAAGTTTTAGAGAGGGTTAAATTAAAAAAATGTACAGGCATACCTCGTTTTATTGCACTACACCGATGTTGCTGGTTTTTTGGTTTTTTTTTTTTTTTTACAAATTGAAGGCAAGACCCTCCTCCAGCAAAAAGATTATGATTGGCTTTATTGCAGTGGTCTGGAAACCAACCCGAAATATCTCTAAGGTATGCCTGTATGTAAGCTGTGAAACACAGCGGGAGATTCAATAAATCCACTCTCCCACTCCCCCCTCTACAGCTCACTGTTCTTAAAACTCTTGCAGAGAGTCACTATAGCTTTTGAAAATGTATTAATTAGCTTTTCAGTACTAATAAATAGTCAATGTTAATTTTTATTATTTTTAATGTTTGGTATCATAAAATACCTAAAAGCTACAAGACTGATCATTTATTAACTATAACCGATGTAGGAGTGGATGAGTGGGCTGAATATGTATAAACCTCAATACTCAAGGTTGTATTTTGGACAATATCTGATAATAACTTTCTGGCATTCTTCTCTGTTTCTCCTACTGTTGAAAGTTCCAGCTGATACTTTATAACACTTTACAAATGATACTTTATAACACTTTACAAATCAAAGCTCCTATCATTTATTCAACAAATAACTTTTTTTTCTTTTTTCCTAATTGAATGTTTGCATAATTACTTAGATCATTCTGGATCCAAGGTGGCAGGGAGGCAGGAAGGATCAAAGATCTGACAACTGGGTCTACCTTTCATGATAAAAAGGTGGTTCCCTGGTGGGCAGAACACACATACAGCATATCAGAATGAAAGCAGCAACTGATGACTCCATTTCCTGCAATGAGGGTAACTACTGAGTCATTTAAGTATTGAGACAAAGCGACAAGGCCAAATTGAATTAGCTTAGCATGCCTTTTAGGGGAATTCATAGCATCTTCATAGCTAGAACAACAAATAAAGCCTGTGTAGTACTTTAGGGTTTGTAAATTGTTTTCAGCAGTAGAAAAATTCATTGGATTTAGCTCTTTATAAAATGAAAAATGGCAAAACTGATTATTTTGCTAAAGTAGGAATTTATTCCAAAAAGATAAAGTGCTCTTTCTATGCACTCCCACGGGATATACGTGAACTTCCATGTACATCTCCTATCACAAGCCTTATCACGCTGAATATAACTATCTACCTGTATCCTGTATAAACTATAGGCTCTCTAACAGCAAGAGCTGTGTCACTTATTACCTTTATGTCCTCCGGCACGCATGCCTGACACGTCAGGTAATCACGTGCTGAAATGAATCTGAAGTAGCCTATTCTATCTTCACTGTCTGTGCATGGTTGAATATTAAGTACACATCGTAAGCATAAGCCAAGTCTAAAGTTAAAAGAATTTGTAAGGGCAAAAAAAGTTAGGAAGGGGAAGAAGGTGGGTGAGAAGATGGGGAGAGGAATAGCCGTCAAGCTAAAAACTCTAGCTTCCATTTCACTAACCTTGTTCAAGAGAATGACATGTCTTTATTCTTTTTTAGAGGTCCATCTAGGAAAAGGAGTGGTAATTGACTTTCCAAAGGCCACAATGAATCAGTAACTTTTGCAGTGCCTCCTTTTTAAAAAGAGTAACAGATAAACCCTTCCTGAGCTATGTAACACCCCCCTACACACACACACACACACACACACACACACACACACACACACACACACACACACACAGGGGCCAGGCACTCTACTTCTCTAGATTTATAGGGGCAGCGGGGGGTGGGTACACACCCATTTACCCCACTAACACGAAACCACGTAACTAGGTACCTGCATCATGGGCTCAAACCAGTTTCCCTGAGCTGAGCTCCCTTCTCTGTAGACTTCTCCACTCAGGTCAAGTTTAGGCTATCTTTTGGCACTAAAGAAGACTAGGCTCTGTAGGCTCTCTCTGCTCAGAGACATAGCGTTCTAAATCTTGTTTACTTGTTAGACACGGAACTCAAGTTTCTTTAAGACAGAAGAGTATTCGAAAGAGACTAACCACTTATATAGAAAGTTATACCATGTTCCCAAGAAATAAATGTGTATTTTACTGACAACCAGAACACACGTTTTAAATAGGCCATCCCTGGTGCCCACCTGTCCTCAATAGTTAAAAGCCATCACATTCTTCACTCAACAGTTCATCTTGTAACACAGTAGTCTACCCATCCCAGTTGGGGTGCTCTGGTAGATTCACCCCTAACTTTCCTAAATTGCCTGAAATCATTTCATTTCAGAGAGAACTGCCTAATTCCAACAGGAATCAAGGGAAGGGAAGGAAATAGAATGTTAGGAGAAGGGCAGCTCACCTTATGCCAGAAGGAGGAATGAAAGCAGGAAAAGAGGGAAACAACAGCTGGCCTGGTACAGTCATGGCTATAGCAACAGCAAGACTGGTAAATAAGAGCTTAGCCTCACCTGGGCTTTAATCCCAGAGTTGCCATTGACAATGTATTTCTTCTTGTTGCTCAGCATAGTGACATTACCAGCCCTACTGCCACCACTCCGGTGCAGGGACCCTTGTGGTTAGGCCTTTAAACTTTCCGCATCAGCAATTCTGTTGGCTCTGGTTCCAGCTGGCTTTTTTTTTTTTTTTTGGTTGGGGGGTGGGGTGTTATCCTTCCCTGGAATCCCCGAAGCAGCTCCAACAACCCCTCCAGCAGTAGAGCCCAATTTAATAAGGCATTTCTGTTAGTGGCTCATCAGCCATTCCTAATTCTGGTGGCTGTTTTGCTTTTATTTTTTTCCTAAACACCTAATTACCTGGATCCTCTGACCTCTAAACATTAACAAGTCCCCTGACAAGGCCCAACTTGCATGTGCATAACAATAGCTTATTTATATAACCAGCACACTTTTTTTGCCTGCTATAATTACCTGGCTAATTAGGTTCCTTTCTAACCTTACCTCCTCCTTTTCCATGTCAGATGATTTTAGTTAACCTAGTCTCATTAGAAAAAAATTAACTACAGAGCCACTAAAACAATGAGGGGATTTATTAAGGTGGTAAGAAAAAAAAATGGTGCCAAGTGCTCAGGCAGCCCCTACGCTATACTGTGTCCTGGGGTTAGTCAGACGGGAAACCGTTGCTGTACTCTGTTGTGCATCTTTTATACAGGTTTTGACATTGGTTTCTAGCCATCTCAAGATTGTTGCTGATTAGGTGCTGAGTAACTATGTCTGCTTTCTCAAAAAAGTTTTTCAAAAACTGTGTTTCATGGAAGGCATGACTACAAAGGAGAGTTTCCTATTTCCTCAGAGACCCAAAAATCACAATGACCTTGTTCCATATCAAATAGAGTCAAATGAAAGGGCAAAAGATCACATTTATTTGTTGATTTCTGAAAGGCACCTGGTGAATAGGAAAGCTATACTCAACTGTATGTTACAGAGACAAGGTAGGAATGTGATTTGAATACTTCCTTAAAAAAGGGGACTGCATGTTGATTGAGCAGAAGAAAGAACACAAAATAGTAGATTCTTTTTTTTTTTTAAGTATAATCTTTATTTTGAGAGACAAGGTCTCTGGAAGAAGAGAATAAGGGGAGAACCAATATTTATTAAGTGCCTACTATACATAGCCCTGTGTGTATGTTACTTCTATTAATCAACATAAGAATCTTAAAAAGTAGGCATGATTATCCCTATTTGACAAACGAGGAAAGTGCAGCTCTGAAAGAACAAATGATTTGCCTGAGGTCCGACAGTGAGTGTGGCAACTAGAATGGGAATCTGTGTTTCTGTCAGAGTGGCATCTCTTTCCACTATACCACACCTTGTGCTACTAATCAGAAGACCCCGGGTCCCAATCCTGGGTGCATCTGCTTCGCTGTATTCTTCTTAATTTACCTTTAAATCTATCTAAAATTAATCCTTACAATGACTTTCTTATTAGACTGGGTCTCAGAAATGACATCATTCCAGATGATCTTGGGGGCTCTGATCAAACCACAATTCTGAAATTCTGAAATGGCTAATCATATAAGAATTTGAAATTTAACAGCCCTTTAATTGGCAACTTTGCCCAATGCCACTACCAAAAATCGAAACAGAAATTAGTTGAGCTGAAATACTGATGTTCACCATCACCCATGACAATGCTCATCTCTTACTCATAATTTCAAAAAAATGAGATAGACCGATGTTTTTCTGCTTGCTTGGTGCATCTCTAAGCTCCTGCTCTTGCTAACCCAGGATGTTCACCCTAGTATACCCTCAGGTGGCTCCTCCTTTTCCTCACTCAGGTGAAAAGGAACTCCTTGGTCCAATGGCTTAAGTCACTAGACCTGCGCCAGAGGGAGCTGCAGATCTATACCAAATACAAGCAAAAAACATTTTAGGATACTATTACTGACAGGAAAAGCCTTAC